GTCACAGTGGCAGGTGTTCAGTGCCCCCCCCTACCTGAGGGCTACCAGATCTCCACCAGGTACTTCCTCCTGTGTATGAATACTCTCCAGTATTACACCTGTATAATATACAGTATTAATATTTAAAGTATGTTCAGGATCGTGTGTGAGCTGCAGGCCAGCGGGGGCCCGAGGGAGGGCCCGGTCCTGGTTACCGTGGGAACAACTCCACCTGGCCGGTCCTCCCAGACGTTCACCTATCAGGTGAGAGGACCCCCCCCATGTATTAATGCTAAGCTACAGAGTGTGTCAGCTGACCTCTGACCTCTGTAACCATGTATTAATGCTAAGCTACAGAGTGTTGACCTCTGTCCTCAGGACCCCCAGCTGCTGGCCCTGGTTCCTGACAGGGGGCCGGTCTCTGGAGGAACCAGACTCACCATCAGGGGGCGGAGCCTGCTGACCGGACAGAGGGCGGACCTGAGAGCCTTCCTGGGCCCCCAGCCCTGCTACATGTGAGCGCTAATGCTACTGCTACTGATAATGATAATGACAATGCTAATGCTATTGCTACTGCTACTGCTACTGATAATGATAATGCTACTGCTACTGATACTGTTAATGTTACTGATAATGCTACTACTACTGATAATGCTACTGTCAATGCTAATGTGACTGCTAATGCTACTCCTGTACACCTTGCCCCCCCCAGCATGGAGCAGGTGTCTCACTCTCAGCTGGTGTGTGAGACAGGTCGCAGTAACCGGACCGGACCTGTCTCTCTGCGGCTGTTGTTCGGTCAGGCTGAGCGGACCGTCGCTAATGCTAGCTTCCGTTACCTTGACGACCCGGTGATCACCGACGCCTCGCCAGCGGAGAGTTTCTACGCGTAAGAACGAACCCCAGTAACCAATCAGATCGCAGCTCCCCCCCCCCCCCAGTGCTAACCTCCACTTCCTGTCCTCAGGGGCGGGCGCGTCGTCATGGTGACAGGCAGGAACCTGGGCGTCGTGCAGCAGCCAATCATAGCGGTGTGGGTGGAGCCTGTGGAGGGACAGAGGGTGAAGCGGAGGAGACGATTGGCTCTGCTCAGCGCTAAGCAACAGCTGGTGTTCAACAGCAGCAGGACCACGGTGAGGGAGGGGCAGTAACTGTAGGAACCACGTCTTACTGGAATCGTGTCTGATTGTAACTGTAGGAACCGTGTCTGTAACTGTAGGAACCGCGTCTGACTGTAACTGTAGGAAGCGTGTCTGACTGTAACTATGTCTGACTGTAACTGTAGGAACCGTGTCTGTAACTGTAGGAACCGCGTCTGACTGTAACTGTAGGAACCGTGTCTGACTGTAACTATGTCTGACTGTAACTGTAGGAACCGTGTCTGACTGTAACTGTGTCTGACTGTAACTGTAGGAACCGTGTCTGACTGTAACTATGTCTGACTGTAACTGTAGGAACCGTGTCTGTAACTGTAGGAACCGCGTCTGACTGTAACTGTAGGAACCGTGTCTGACTGTAACTGTGTCTGACTGTAACTGTAGGAACCGTGTCTGACTGTAACTGTGTCTGACTGTAACTGTAGGAACCGTGTCTGACTGTAACTGTAGGAACCGTGTCTGACTGTAACTGTGTCTGACTGTAACTGTAGGAACCGTGTCTGACTGTAACTGTGTCTGACTGTAACTGTAGGAAGCGTGTCTGACTGTAACTATGTCTGACTGTAACTGTAGGAACCGTGTCTGACTGTAACTGTGTCTGACTGTAACTGTAGGAACCGTGTCTGACTGTAACTGTAGGAACCGTGTCTGACTGTGTCTGACTGTAACTGTAGGAACCGTGTCTGACTGTAACTGTAGGAACCGTGTCTGACTGTAACTATGTCTGACTGTAACTGTAGGAACCGTGTCTGACTGTAACTGTGTCTGACTGTAACTGTAGGAACCGTGTCTGACTGTAACCGTAGGAACCGTGTCCGACTGTAACTGTAGGAACCGTGTCCGACTGTAACTGTAGGAACCGTGTCCGACTGTAACCGTGTCTGACTGTAACTGTAGGAACCGTTTCGGACTGTAACTGTAGGAACCGTGTCCGACTGTAACCTTAGGAACCGTTTCGGACTGTAACTGTAGGAACCGTGTCCGACTGTAACCTTAGGAACCGTTTCGGACTGTAACTGTAGGAACCGTGTCCGAATGTAACCGTAGGAACCGTGTCCGAATGTAACCGTAGGAACCGTGTCCGAATGTAACCGTAGGAACCGTGTCCGACTGTAACCGTAGGAACCGTGTCCGACTGTAACCGTAGGAACCGTGTCTGACTGTAACCGTAGGAACTGAGCGGGTGGAGAACCTTCCGGTTGTGGCTCAAAGTGAAAAACATACTAACTACAAGCTAGAGTTACAGGTGATATGTTGTAGACATATCGTTGTCATAGAAACGATCAGAGAGCGCTGGGACGGATCTGATGTCCTTTTGTCTCAATAATGACAGACTATGTCTCTCACCTGTCTTTCTCTCAACTGTCTGTCTCTCAGGTGTCGGAGCCCTGCTCTGTGCTGTCGTCCTCTCAGATGACCTGTCTCACCCCCAGAGTGTCCCCAGAGGTCAAAGTGAAGGGAGTCTGGTTCCAGCTGGACAACGTCAGGGTCCACTTTGAGACCATCAAGGTACCTGTCTGTCTGACACCTGTCTGTCTCTCACCTGTCTGTCTCTCACATGTCTGTCTCCCACCTGTCTGTCTCTCACCTGTCTCTCTCTCACCTGTCTCTCTCTCACCTGTCTCTCTCTCACCTGTCTCTCTCTCACCTGTCTATCTCTCACCTGTCTCTCACATGTCTGTCTCCCACCTGTCTGTCTCTTACCTGTCTGTCTCTCACCTGTCTCTCTCTCACCTGTCTCTCTCTCACCTGTCTCTCACCTGTCTGTCTCTCACCTGTCTCTCTCTCACCTGCCTGTCTCTCACCTGTCTGTCTCTTACCTGTCTCTCTCTCACCTGTCTCTCACCTGTCTCTCTCTCACCTGTCTCTCACCTGTCTGTCTCTCACCTGTCTCTCTCTCACCTGTCTGTCTCTCACCTGTCTGTCTCTTACCTGTCTGTCTCTCACCTGCCTGTCTCTCACCTGTCTGTCTCTCACCTGTCTCTCTCTCACCTGCCTATCTCTCACCTGTCTCTCACCTGTCTGTCTCTCACCTGTCTGTCTCTCACCTGTCTCTCTCTCACCTGTCTCTCACCTGTCTGTCTCTCACCTGTCTCCCACCTGTCTGTCTCTCACCTGTCTGTCTCTCACCTGTCTGTCTCTCACCTGTCTCTCTCTCACCTGTCTCTCACCTGTCTGTCTCTCACCTGTCTCTCACCTGTCTGTCTCTCACCTGTCTCTCTCACCTGTCTCTCTCTCACCTGTCTCTCACCTGTCTGTCTCTCAGGGGCAGAGCTTCAGGTATTACCCGGACCCGGAGTTCTTCCCTCTGAACAGAGAGGCCCCTGACGTCCCGTACCGCTTCAAACCGGGGGGGGTGATCGCCGTGGAGGTGAGCTATTATCTCGTTAACTAATTAACTCAGTAATGACTTGATTGATGTATTCATCACTGCATTAACATGTCCCCCCCCCAGGGCCAGGACCTGACCCGGGCCATCTCCAGACAGGAAGTGAGGGCTCAGCTGGGGGATCAGGAGTGTGAGGTGAAGACCCTGGATAACACTCACCTGTACTGCGAGCCCCCCGAGAGCCAGCCGGGGGGGGGCGGGGGCCTGCCCAGCCTCAAGGTACTGACACTACACTACACTTTTATAATACAGACCATAATACCAGACTATAACAACGTGCCACCCCCAGGTGCTGATGGGGAACCTGCAGGTGGACCTGGGTTCGGTGCAGTACGACAGCAACGGCCTGTCTGTCGTCCCATTGGCTGCTCAGATTAGTCTGGGGGCGGGAGCAGCCGTCATCATCCTATCAGTGCTCGTCATCATCCTGATGTACAGGTAAGGCAAAGGTGCTGTTTCACTCTCTCCTTCATTCTGTAGAACAACACATATATATATTAATGTGTGTGTGTGTGTGTGTGTGTGTGTGTGTGTGTGTGTGTGTGTGTGTGTGTGTGTGTGTGTGTGTGTGTGTGTGTGTGTGTGTGTGTGTGTGTGTTCAGGAGGAAGAGTAAACAGGCGCTCAGAGATTACAAGAAGGTTCTGCTGCAGTTAGAGACTCTGGAGATCAACGTTGGAGACCAGTGTCGAAAAGAGTTCACAGGTACACACACACACACACACACACACACACACACACACACACACACACACACACACACACACACACACACACACACACACACACACGCACACACACACACACACACGCACACACACACACACACACCACACACACACTCTCACTGTGTAATTGTGTGTTCAGACCTGATGACGGAGATGATGGACCTCAGCAGTGATGTGGGGGGGCCGGGCCCCCCCCTGCTGGACTACAAGACGTATGCAGAGCGGATCTTCTTCCCCGGCCAGCAGGGGGCGCCGTTCAGCCGCCAGCTGGACCTGCCGGAGCACCGCCGCGTCACCGTGGAGACGGGCCTGCAGAACCTGAGCCTGCTGCTCAACAACCGGCTGTTCCTCACCAGGGTGGGGTCTCTGTTTACTATAAATACTGTCTCTATACGTGGGGGGGTCTCTGTTTACTATAAATACTGTCTCTATACGTGGGGGGGTCTCTGTTTACTATAAATACTGTCTCTATACGTGGGGGGGGGTCTCTGTTTACTATAAATACTGTCTCTATACATGGAGGGGGTCTCTGTTTACTATAAATACTGTCTCTATACGTGGGGGGGGGGTCTCCGTTTACAATAAATACTGTCTCTACACGTGGGGGGGGGTCTCTGTTTACTATAAATACTGTCTCTATATGTGGGCGGGGGTCTCCGTTTACAATAAATACTGTCTCTATACGTGGGGGGGGTCTCCGTTTACTATAAATACTGTCTCTATACATGGGTGGGGTCTCTGTTTATTATAAATACTGTCTCTATACGTGTTGTAAATGTATTCGTTCAGTTGTTGAGGATGGCGCTGTCTCCGGTTGTTTAATATAATATAAAGAGTGTATGTTGTCCCCGGTGCAGTTCATCCACACTCTGGAGGCGCAGCAGGGCTTCTCTCAGAGGGACCGGGGCTACGTGGCCAGCCTTCTGACCGTCGCTCTGCACGACAAGCTGGAGTACTTCACCGAGGTGATGAAGGGCCTCCTGCAGGACCTGGTGCAGCAGTACGTGGCCAAGAACCCCAAACTCATGCTGCGCCGGTACGTAAACAAACACACCCAAACTCATGCTGCGCTGCGCCGGTACGTAAACAAACACACCCCAACTCATGCTGCGCCGGTACGTAAACAAACACACCCCAACTCATGCTGCGCCGGTACGTAAACAAACACACCCCAACTCATGCTGCGCCGGTACGTAAACAAACACACCCCAACTCATGCTGCGCCGGTACGTAAACAAACACACCTGCACGTGGGGGGGTCTCTGTTTAGCCTCAAAGGGCGGAGCAGCGAGCCCCCCAACATTTTGTTATTGTTATTGTTATTGTTTATTTTATTGTGATTGTAGTAATGTGTAGTTATTACATGTACAGCACTTTGGCTCGACCAAAAATCACTTTGTGCTTTATAAAACTTGATTTGATTTAGATTTGATTTGAACGTCCCCCCAACACGGCCCCCAGACCCCACGCAGCATTCTCCTCTGTTTGTCATTGCTGGGGTCATTTCCTGGTTGCTAACAAACGCCATTGTAAAACATAAACACTGATGTTCCGCTGTAACGGTGGTGGACTCATCAGAACAGAGTGGGCGAGCTGACCAATCAGAGCACAGTGGGCTCACAGGGAGGGGGGGGGGCAGGAGCTCCAACAAGCCGTTTAGGACAGAGAGTGAATACACAGACTATACAGAGATGCTGTATGAGAAACCAATGAGAGTTTGGAACATTGAACAATGTACATCTATTCTAGTAGACCTCAACTATGGAACTATGATCAGTAGAAATGGCCGTGAGTCATGGGACCTTTAAGTTAGGGTTTGATGGTTAAAACGTTTTAAAACATACTGAATATAAACAGTGTCTGTCTGTCTGTCTGTCTGTCTGTCTGTCTGTCTGTCTGTCTGTCTGTCTGTCTGTCTGTCTGTCTGTCTGTCTGTCTGTCTGTCTGTCTGTCTGTCTGTCTGTCTGTCTGTCTCTCTCACTGTCTGTCTGTCTGTCTGTCTGTCTGTCTGTCTGTCTGTCTGTCTGTCTCTCTCACTGTCTGTCTGACTGTCTGTCTGTCTGTCTGTCTCTCTCACTGTCTGTCTGACTGTCTGACTGTCTGTCTGTCTGTCTGTCTGTCTCTCTCACTGTCTGTCTGTCTGACTGTCTGTCTGTCTGTCTGTCTGTCTGTCTGTCTCTCTGTCTGTCTGACTGTCTGTCTGTCTGTCTGTCTCTCTCACTGTCTGTCTGACTGTCTGTCTGTCTGTCTGTCTCACTGTCTGTCTGACTGTCTGTCTGTCTGTCTGTCTGTCTGTCTGTCTGTCTCTCTCACTGTCTGTCTGACTGTCTGTCTGTCTGTCTGTCTCTCTCACTGTCTGTCTGACTGTCTGACTGTCTGTCTGTCTGACTGTCTGTCTGTCTCTCTGTCTGTCTGACTGTCTGTCTGTCTGTCTGTCTCTCTCACTGTCTGTCTGACTGTCTGTCTGTCTGTCTGTCTCTCTCACTGTCTGACTGTCTGTCTGTCTGTCTGTCTGTCTGTCTGTCTCTGTCTGTCTCTCTCTCTGTCTGTCTGTCTGTCTGTCTGTCTGTCTGTCTGTCTGTCTCTCTCACTGTCTGTCTGACTGTCTGTCTGTCTGTCTGTCTCTCTCACTGTCTGTCTGTCTCTCTGTCTGACTGTCTGACTGTCTGACTGTCTGACTGTCTGACTGTCTGACTGTCTGTCTGTCTGTCTATCTCTCTCTCTCTCTATGTGTCTGTCTGTATGTCTGTCTCTCTGACTGTCTGTCTGTCTGTCTGTCTGACTGTCTGTCTGACTGTCTGTATGTCTGTCTGTCTCTCTGACTGTCTGTCTGACTGTCTGTCTGCCTGTCTGTCTGTTTCAGGACGGAGACGGTTGTGGAGAAGATGTTGACCAACTGGATGTCTATCTGCCTCTACTCCTTCCTCAAGGTAAACCTGTCTGTCTGCCTGTCTGTCTGTATAATGACCTTTCTGTCTGTACACTGACCTGTCTGTCTGTCACCTGTCTGTGCAGGAGGTGGGGGGGGGAGCCTCTCTACATGCTGTACAGAGCCATAAAGTACCAGGTGGACAAAGGTCCCGTGGACTCAGTGACGGGGAAAGCTAAACGCACTCTGAACGACAGCCACCTGCTGAGAGAGGACATCGAGTACTGCTCCATGGTGACACACACACATCTTAAAGGGGACCTATCATGCAAAATGCACTTTTGTACGTCTTTTCTACATGAATATGTGTCCCCGGTGTTCCAGGGAACTCACCAAGTGTCAGAAAACACAACCCTCTCTATTTTCCTCCATACCCAAATCTCTAAAAAAGGGGCTGCAACGGATCTGATCAAAACTGATCCAGATTTGAACACTGTCCTGACGTCAGGACGGTGGCGCTACGGCTATTGGGCCAACTCCACCAATCAGGAGGAGACAGCCACGGCCATTGCCGTTCGAAAGCGCTGGAGACGCTGTAGTACATATGCCAGGCCTGTAAGTGGCGCTGTAGTCTGCCACAAAAGCAGCGAAGAAGACTTCCCGCCCATAGTTACCATGGTTACCCTTCTGTTTATTCTCCGCTGTGGCTTTCTTTCTCCCTCCCCGAGGCAAGCGTTTGCTCCCGCTGCTTTAATTCAATGCAATCCCTCCCCGTCGAGGCAAGCACTGTAACTCTCTCCGGTTAGTCCACCAGCAGATGACAAACACCCACCTCTCCGCCTCTTCCAAGGAACGAGGGGACCGTGCGGCAGAGTTTCAGTTTCAGTTTCTTTCACCGGTCAAGATGTCCGTTAAAGTTTAGATCTAACAAAATTAGAAAAGTGCCGGTCAAAGGTCTTCTTTGTTATTTATTAAGCTTTAAAACAAATGAATAACGACTCTATATAATAAAACACGGAGGACGGAGATCTCTTTTTCTCCCCCTCTTCTGACAGCCCAGCAGCTGATCAGAGCACGTCTCCCCTCTCCTGCAGGGGGGCGTGGTCAGCAGAATCAGACCCGTAGACAGCAAACAGCACATAGAGCGAAATGAGGCATGGCTAAAATGCATGATCTGTTTGGTATTTTGAAAACAGAAACGTATAAATATACCTTATATAGGTATGGCCCTGCAATATATCATTTACATATAGCATGATAGGTCCATTTTAAAGCAGGAGAGTTTGTTTCGTTCCAATCCAAGAGAGTCCACACTTTTAGGACGTTTCCACTTTCAATTATTTCCCTCTGGTTTTAACTTCTATGATATAATCACAAGTCACTTCCTTTTGAAATGTCTTTCTTCTAACCCTGCCAGCAGTCCCTGGTCACAGGTTCTGCTGAAGTGATTACCCCTTAAACTCCTGTCAGTTCACAGAGTGCTCTGAAGTGTAAACCTGTCTCTCTCTCTCCTGTCTCTCTCTCTCAGACTCTGACAGTGCTGGTGAAGAACGGCCTGGAGGTTCAGCCGAGTCCCGTTAGAGTGTTAGACACAGACACCATCACACAGGTACCTGTCTGTCTGTCTGTTTGTCTGTCTGTCTGTCTGTCTCTCTCTCACTCTCACCTGTCTCTCTCTCACCTGTCTCTCTGTCACCTGTCTCTCTCTCACCTGTCTCTCTGTCACCTGTCTCTCTCTCTCTCACCTGTCTCTCTCTCACCTGTCTCTCTCTCACCTGTGTCTCTCTCACCTGTCTCTCTCTCACCTGTGTCTCTCTCACCTGTCTCTCTCTCACCTGTGTCTCTCTCACCTGTCTGTCTCTCACCTGTCTCTCTGCAGGTGAAGGATAAGATCCTGGATCAGGTCTACAGAGGAGCTCCGTTCTCTCAGAGACCGTCAGCAGACAGTCTGGACCTGGGTACGCTCACACACACCTGTCTCACCTGTCTCACCTGTCTCACCTGTCTCACCTGTCTCACCCGTCTCACCCCTCTCACCCGTCTCACACCTCTATTCATTGACAGAGTGGCGTTCTGGGCAGGCGGGTCACCTGACTCTCTCAGATGATGATGTCACTGCGGTGGTTCAGGGCCGCTGGAAACGAGTTAACACTCTGCAGCACTACAAGGTAAACCGACCAATCACAGCATGGCTCTAACTGACCAATCACAGCGCGGCTCTAACCCACCAATCACAGAGCGGCTCTAACCCACCAATCACAGAGCGGCTCTAACCCACCAATCACAGAGCGGCTCTAACCCACCAATCACAGAGCGGCTCTAACCCACCAATCACAGAGCGGCTCTAACCCACCAATCACAGAGCGGCTCTAACCCACCAATCACAGCGCGGCTCCAACCCACCAATCACAGAGCGGCTCTAACCCACCAATCACAGCGCGGCTCCAACCCACCAATCACAGCGCGGCTCCAACCCACCAATCACAGAGCGGCTCTAACCCACCAATCACAGCGCGGCTCCAACCCACCAATCACAGACTGCAGTGGTGCAGAGGTCCTGCAGAACACAGAGAGGTTCTCCTCAGGTAAGGGTTCTGTTCCTCAGTCACTGAAACATGATCTGTGATTCTTCAGGTTCCTGACGGAGCTACCGTGGCTCTGATCCCCCGCTCCGTGAGCCCAGCTGGAGTCCATCAGGTGTTCCAGACCGGAGAGAGTAAGAACACCTAGAACACGCAGAACCACATCTCAAACACAAACAGAACCACATCTCCAACACACAGAACCACATCTACGACACACACAGAACCACATCTCCAACACACGCAGAACCACATCTCAAACACAAACAGAACCACATCTCCAACACACAGAACCACATCTACGACACACACAGAACCACATCTCCAACACACACAGAACCACATCTCCAACACACAGAACCACATCTCCAACACACAGAGCCACATCTACGACACACACAGAACCACATCTACGACACACACAGAACCACATCTACAACACACACAGAACCACATCTACAACACACACAGAACCACATCTCCAACACACACAGAAACACATCTACAACACACACAGAAACACATCTCCAACACACACAGAACCACATCTCCAACACACACAGAACCACATCTCCAACACACACAGAACCACATCTACAACACACACAGAAACACATCTACAACACACAGAACCACATCTACGACACACACAGAACCACATCTACAACACACACAGAACCACATCTCCAACACACAGAGCCACATCTACGACACACACAGAACCACATCTACAACACACACAGAACCACATCTACAACACACAGAACCACATCTACAGAACACAGAACCACATATCCAACACACACAGAACCACATCTACAGAACACAGAACCACAAACACATGTTCTGTTACCTGTACGAGGGTTATGGTTCTAGATGTTATGTTCTGTTGCCTGTACGAGGGTTCTGGTTCTAGATGTTATTGTTCTGTTGCCTGTACGAGGGTTCTGGTTCTAGATGTTATTGTTCTGTTGCCTGTACGAGGGTTATGGTTCTAGATGTTATTGTTCTGTTACCTGTACAAGGGTTCTGGTTCTAAATGTTATTGTTCTGTTGCCTGTACAAGGGTTATGGTTCTAGATGTTGTGTTCTGTTGCCTGTACGAGGGTTCTGGTTCTAGATGTTATGTTCTGTTGCCTGTACAAGGTTTATGGTTCTAGATGTTATGTTATGTTGCCTGTACGAGGGTTATGGTTCTAGATGTTATTGTTCTGTTACCTGTACAAGGGTTCTGGTTCTAGATGTTATTGTTCTGTAGCCTGTACAAGGGTTATGGTTCTAGATGTTATGTTCTGTTGCCTGTACAAGGGTTCTGGTTCTAGATGTTATGTTCTGTTGCCTGCACGAGGGTTATGGTTCTAGATGTTATTGTTCTGTTGCGTGCACGAGGGTTCTGGTTCTAGATGTTATTGTTCTGTAGCCTGTACAAGGGTTATGGTTCTAGATGTTATGTTCTGTTGCCTGTACAAGGGTTCTGGTTCTAGATGTTATGTTCTGTTGCCTGCACGAGGGTTATGGTTCTAGATGTTATTGTTCTGTTGCCTGCACGAGGGTTATGGTTCTAGATGTTATTGTTCTGTTACCTGTACAAGGGTTCTGGTTCTAGATGTTATGTTCTGTTGCCTGTACGAGGGTTCTGGTTCTAGATGTTGTGTTCTGTTGCCTGTACGAGGGTTCTGGTTCTAGATGTTATGTTCTGTTGCCTGTACGAGGTTTATGGTTCTAGATGTTATGTTCTGTTGCCTGTACAAGGTTTATGGTTCTAGATGTTATTGTTCTGTTGCCTGTACGAGGGTTCTGGTTCTAGATGTTATTGTTCTGTTGCCTGTACAAGGATTATGGTTCTAGATGTTGTGTTCTGTTGCCTGTACGAGGGTTCTGGTTCTAGATGTTGTGTTCTGTTGCCTGTACGAGGGTTCTGGTTATAGATGTTATGTTCTGTTGCCTGTACAAGGTTTATGGTTCTAGATGTTATTGTTCTGTTGCCTGTACGAGGGTTCTGGTTCTAGATGTTGTGTTCTGTTGCCTGTACGAGGGTTCTGGTTCTAGATGTTATGTTCTGTTGCCTGTACAAGGTTTATGGTTCTAGATGTTATTGTTCTGTTGCCTGTACGAGGGTTCTGGTTCTAGATGTTATTGTTCTGTAGCCTGTACGAGGGTTATGGTTCTAGATGTTATTGTTCTGTTACCTGTACGAGGGTTCTGGTTCTAGATGTTATGTTCTGTTGCCTGTACGAGGGTTCTGGTTCTAGATGTTATGTTCTGTTGCCTGTACGAGGGTTATGGTTCTAGATGTTATGTTCTGTTGCCTGTACGAGGGTTATGGTTCTAGATGTTATGTTCTGTTGCCTGTACGAGGGTTATGGTTCTAGATGTTATGTTCTGTTGCCTACAGAAACCCCCATGCTGGAGGGCGAGGAGGACGAGGGGCTGCGGCTCTGGCACCTGGTGAAGAGCAGCGAGGATCCAGAGATCCCAAAACACCGGAAGAGCAGCATGAGGGAGAGAGAGAGAGCCAAGGCCATACCTGAGATCTACCTGACCCGCCTGCTGTCCATGAAGGTAACACACCTGAGTTAACCTGTCCATGAAGGTAACACACCTGAGTTAACCTGTCCATGAAGGTAACACACCTGAGTTAACCTGTCCATGAAGGTAACACACCTGAGTTAACCTGTCCATGAAGGTAACACACCTGAGTTAACCTGTCCATGAAGGTAACACACCTGAGTTAACTGGTCCATGAAGGTAACACACCTGAGTTAACCGGTCCATGAAGGTAACACACCTGAGTTAAC